GCCTGACCGTAGAGATGATTGGACCAGGCAGTTTCAAAGGAATTCCACAATCTGCATTGCCTGTTGCAAAGCGGAGGAGGGGTTCGGGGAACTTTCACGTGTTTGTTACACTACCCCTCTCTACCCCAAATTCCGGCAACCCAGTGGCAAAGGTCCTAAAAAGAGATATGTTGCTGCATAGGCAGAGGCTGACACAAAAGAGTCTGACTTAGTGCATCCTCTTGGATGCTGCGACGTGCTGCATGGACTCCGAGATGGGCCCGCACCTCAAGCTCTTTGCGGCAATAGCAATATCAGGATCTAGAATTACAGCGTAGAACAGCAGTCAACAGGGGGCCGTCGCCTCAAGCTCTTTGTCGAAATGGCAATTTCAGGATCTAGACTTGCAGCGTAGAGCAACAGTCAACAAGAAAGGAGGAGCTTTACATGCATCGTGAAAGTAATGGCAGCCCGTCCAGTGACAGAAAGCATGTTTGCAGGATCAAACGAACCAAAGCTGGACGTTGAATATTCCATGTTTTAAAAAGACCAAAGAGCACATAGCGGGGTTCAGGCCTGCACTCCCAGTTTTTTTGGAAGCGGCCCACATTTGGACTTTCACGGCAAGCTGCCTTAGACTCTCAGGGTTGATAAACTGAAGGTTGTTGACCTCCTACGAAGTTATCTTCCCCAAAATGCCCTTCTTTACCCCCAAGAGTATTCCCAGGCGCTAAAAGATAACCCTAAACGCTATACTGCTGCATGTGAGTTGCTTTCAGTCAGATTTTGCCGGATTCGAACCTTTTTATACCGTCAGTACCATGCAAGTGGCAAAATATTAGTGTGGTTACAACATCTCACAACTAAAACTATTATTGCTGGTATTTCTTTTTACTGTTACTATGATTATTACACGATGCAAGCCTGATTTCACGTCAGAATGCCTTCCATCCTTTCTCCGAACGCTTGAGCCGGTGATTCTTAGGTTTTATTGCATCTCCAAAAAATCCGACTGAACTGCCAGTGCTCCGAAAGCATTCGCTGCTTTGCTCAGCTCTCTGCATGGAATGTTACAAGCCGAAGTGGGTTCACCACTGGAGTGGGGGAATGGAGCTGCATAATTACCCTACTAATAATCTCTATTGCTTAACTTAAATAATGGTGTTTCCATGTTCGCCTCCATGCCGCGTAGCCGAGGTACTCAGGTTGCCCAGCGCGTCCTCCAGTTGCATCTTATCCCGGTCGATGAGGACGGCAGGTGGTGATTGCAAGGGTAGGCGCGTTCCCCAAGATTGAGCCTTCAACGCAAGGCTGCCCAAGGGAATTTCACGGCAATGTGTCTATGGCTGGCTGGTGAGTTTTCCCAGCCTCATCTGTTATATGCTGTTATCTTTCTACGTCCACGGGTGAGCCCCAGGAAATCTGACGATGATCCCGCTTGGAAGGCCCTCCTTGCAATCCTTCCACAATACTGGTCAAAAATAGCTTCCAGCCTCTTGTATTCATCTCCTGGCAGGACACCTGCGTGTGCCGAAGACCCTTACCAAGTGCTTGGCTTGCGGCCAGGCGCAGCACTGATGAGTGCTACCAGCTATGGGGAACAGGGCAAAAATATGGACTAGTGTCCGCGTGAAAGGGGCTCTATGAGGTTCCACGTCAGTTTGTGGTAGAGCATCCGGCAGATGCACATGGCCCGGACCTGCCAACAGAAACAGCATGGCATGAAGAAGTTCCAGGCCTGCGTCATACGTTGTCCACAGCTGGAATCTCACGAAACGCTTACCTTCTATGAACTCTTTGACAAAGTGCCAGACTCCTGCTGCGAGTTGGACAAACCATGATTCCATGAAAGCTTGATCTGTCAGCTCAGAAGGTTTTTTTACTGCCCTTATGTCGTAGACACGCGTTTCCAGGCCCCAAAAGCTTGCCAGTTGAATATGAACATTTGCTGATGTGCAGTGTGGAGCAAACGCATGAAGCTGCTAACGCTGTCTCTCTACAACTTTCGCTTGTCGCAAAAGTCAGTAGCCCCCACATGCCCCAGGCAAAACATTTCTGGGCATTGCGATGCCAAAAGGGGACACTAGTTCAACTCAGATTCCTAAAGATCCTGCATGACCCCAAGTACCATATACCATGCTCCTTTCCCCATAACTCGTGTTTAAGCGTCTCACCCCCTTACTGTACGACACGCAATTAGTGAGATCAAGTAGGATCCTATTCAAATTTACTTAAGATCAAAAATGGAAATGGATTAAAAAATAGAAATGGATTGAATCGAATAAAAGACCGATGAATTAAACCTGATTACAATCGTAACAAAGCTAAATACATCAAATTAAAAGCCATTGTAATCTCATGAAAATCTAAATAAGAAGCTGTTGGAAATCAATGTTATATCGTAATCACACCAAACCAATTAAACTCGATTCAAAAACCTAATCGAACATAGAACCCAATTTAAAAAGTGCTCAAAAATCGCAATGACATCAATTAACATCGCGTTCAAATTTAAATAAACGACTCCCCCTGAATTAACGGTCGTCTTGGCCCTTTTGTAGTCTTGTGGGCAGATATGTGGGAAACTCGTATTTCAGATTGGGGGAAGTGATTCCGAACTCTGGTATTCTGATATTCTATTCTTTAAGGTCTTAAGCCTGAACCCCTAAACCCCCAAACCCTAAACACCTAAACCCTAAACCCCGAAACCTTAAACCCCTAAACCCTAAACCCACAAGAATCTCAGTATCAACAGTAAGACCAACTCCCGCCCTCTGTTCCTCAGGTGCCACAGAGGCAGAGGTCCGCACAGCCTACCTCAGAGCCTTGGCGAAATCTAGTATTACTATACAGTTACTATTAGGGTTTAGGGTTTAGGGTTATAATAACTGTTATCATTATGTTACGATTACGATTGCTACACGATACTATAGAAGTACTGTAGTTTTTCAAGGAATCTACCTCCCCCTTGTTTGAGTTTAGTACCCAACACAAGCATCAGTTGAGCTGTAGTCTAAACTCCTAGTATCCCCCTTGATATCACCTAGAATAAGACCCTATAGAATCCCTTTTATATCCACCCTTCAAGGAGTTTAGACCCTAAACCCTAAATTCTGTATAATCCCCGATGAAACCCCCTTTAATTAAGGAGTTTAGACCATAGCCTCACTTGTTGTTTTCAAGCTGTTTGGTTCCGGGCCACGGAATCTGGATTAGGAGCTGCTATGCGCACGCATCCCGACCTCGCCAGCGGAGCCGAGGCTTCGGAATAGTATTAATGCAAAACTGCTAACAAGATCACTTACAGTCAATAGTAAAGATAGAAATGGTAAGAATAATTACGTAGGAGTCAGTACTTAGGGTTTCATACGAGGTTTGAAGGGTGATATAGTGCCGTGTGTGGGAGAGAGAGGGAGGGATCAAACCTGGGGTGTAAGGCTCCCAAACTAGCAAGGAACTCTCGCAGAAGCTCTGTGAAGACTACTGTCAATTTCCACTGGGGCTCTTGCTTCTGCCTACTGGAAATGTCATGCCTTCGGTTCGCCTCCCCGCGCCTTTCTTTCACTATGCGAGTGCGCGCCAAGATGTTCTCAAAAGCCCACATAGCTTCTGGTCATTTCTTCTGACGAGACATGCGAGGGATATCCCCGTTCTTCACAAAATGGGCAGGCATAGGGCAGAGTTCGCCAAACCCTAAAATTGTCCAAATCAATGCCCCTTGCTTTCCGTGGGAAGCTGAAATTTGGGTGTGGAAGGGGCTACAGAGTGACCAGGGAGGAGAGTTGTCTCTGCAGATTAGCGCTCATAAGCCTTAAGCTATGGATCAGGTTTTCTTTGAATTTACCAAGGTGGTCTGAGGTTTTTCAACAGCATGCAGTGCGCGTAGACCTTTCGCGTGGGATATTGGCCACTTGCTCCGTGCGGCTTCTACAACTCAGAGCTTTGCGGCTGAGGGCTAACGTAGATCATGAGAAGCTTGCTGCTTGGTAGCAGTGACTGGCAGGATGAATCCCTAAAGCAGACCCTATAGAATCTCCAACTTGCTGGCGCTCAGTAGGGAATGAGGGAATATTATCCTAAATACTATGATCCCTATGTGCTCCATATGTAATATGTTCCCTCATTCCCTACTAACTCCCAGTAAGCCAAGGCTCTGGTGTTTCCATGTTCTCTTCAAGTCCTAAAATTTGCTTCTGGTTCGTTGTCTGGATCTTGGGGCATCGGTATTTGGAGTTACATGAAACACTGCATGCATCAAAGCTCGCGGGCCTTCCTTGGCCACCTGATATGATAGAGCATTTATTGCTCGGGGCGACTGAACAGAGGATATTATAGAACCTCTTCACATATTTATCTCAACCCTTGATGGTCAAGTAAGTTGTCGATATTCGAGAAACTGCGCCTGTTCCCATACGTGGATTGTCTTTGGCTATGTAGCATACTGGAGGGGTGGTTTTCCAGGTATACCCATGCATGATTGTAGATGCCACCCTCCAGAAACACATTCACATTGTGAGGTCCTTCACAGGAGTCTCCATAAAGTAATCCCCTAATATAGTCCCCCTTAAGTAGATAGAATATGGCTTTGGGTGTATTATAATAAGATCCCCATATACCCCATAAGGTGTGGCCATTTTGCAGAACCCCGCCCTCTCCATCACTCTGCAGGCCGAAAAGCAGGGTGAGGCCTTCCGGCGCATAGCGGAGGCCTACCAACGGATCCGCTCTGGCCAAGGACCGGGCTTTCATGCAGTTCAGGGATGGAGTTTAAGGGGGCTCAAGAGGAATCGTGTGTGGGATTCTTGTTAGGGACGGTTTTTCAAGGTTTTCGCTGCGGTGGGGGCTTGTGGAATGCCCATGCTTTTTAGATCTTCGGGTCGAGGGAAGATGACCTGGCTCCCATTCAGATGAGCCAACCTTCCCTGGGGACCTCACGCTGGCATTGCCCCACGTAACGTCCCAAAAGTAGCTTCCCTTGCCTTTTGGTAATGCCTGGTGTGGAAGAGTTGCCTTTTGGTGAGGATCAGAAGACTCTTCCGGCCCTCCCGTTCAAAGAGAGGGGTGGCCTCGATTCTGCCCTGGGCTTAATACGAGGAGGCACCCATGTCCCTGAGCAGTTGCAAGTGGGGTGCCGAGCACCAAAATACAGGTTCTGGCTCAGTAGTTGAGGACGCCACTCATAACGAATAACCCATGATACAATGACTCATCAACGCCAAGTCATCCCTGAGATGCTGCTGAGGCTCTGTCAGCCAGGAACAAGCAGAGAAGCTTTTCCGCGATGCCTTTAGCGGCCGCGGCCTAGACGAGATGCTTCGGGAGGAGACGCCAGGAATGTCGTCCCCACACTTCAATATTCTATACCTTGAAAGTGACTGCATTCACTGTGATGCCTCTTTCGCTTGTAATCATGTTCGTATTTCCAAAGAAGATCAGCCTTCATTTCTATTTTGACGTCGTGAACAAATGCAGGCTTTGTCGCTCTGATCGCCACATGCAGTGCCAAGGGTTGATTGCACGGGTTGAATGAGGTGAGCTTTACTAAATCCAAACGAGTTCTGTAACTTTCTAGCTCCTGCTTGGAGCCATATGCATTGACGGGAAGGAGGGCGGAAGGAGAGGATCAAAAAGAGACACCGTGATATTTCCCAGCCATATCCACATCGTGTAGAAGTTTCTTACCCAATGTGTCTTGTGTAGAGGGGGCTGCAAAGAAGAACGGAAGAAGCAACTGTAGGGTGGATATGCCTACTTTTCGGGAGCTTAGTTGCATGGGGGTACTACATGTCAAACGTGTTGGACGTTGATTTTAAGGCTTGGGCAGGGCTCGGCACGTTTGCTTGTAGTGTTTGCGCGTCGACGGATTCGATTGAAATGCTGACAGGAGATGGGACGAGTTCCACTCCAGCCAGGACATTTTCGTTTTCGAGTTAGATATGGACTTTCAACATTGGCCACCTTTGCCGGGCTCTTGTTTCGTGAGCACCGATGTTGAGTGTGCTGATCCTGCTCCCAACGACGACTAGCAAAGCACTGCCCAATCTCATATGTTGGAGCAGAAGATCTCTGCTGCTACGTCTGGCCTCATGAACCTGAGTGGCGTTGCCTTCCCGAGGGCTTTGGATTTAGTCTTGTGCGGGATGCTGGCCCACGCGGGCCATACAGCTCAGCTACAGCGCTGTGCTTGGATGATGTTGGGTCCCTGCTTCTTGTTCTCGTTGCAGGGTGGTTTGCTCCCCGCCCCAAGTTGAAACGCTCGTCATACAGGAGTGCACACAGCGGCTGTGCGCGAGGGTAGCTTCGATGCAAGAAGCTGCCATCTCGTCATAGCTGATAGCGGGCCTGTCTAGAGTGCTGGCCCTTAAGATCTTGAGGCAGGCATCAAGCGCTATCTCCACCTTTCATCCTGGAGCGCTGTGTGGTAAACAGAAGTGATATGCCTTGACGTCCTCCTTTGTTGGAGTTTAGCTTTGGCTGAACGGGGAGGCAAGGGTTTCGCATGAGCTTTCGCATCGCAAGCCGCCAAAAGGTTTTGTATATATTACTATGTCACTACACCGTATTACTATTATGTGAGTGTTATACGCCCATATTTCTACTATGTTATTAAGTATTACTGTGCTACTATATTACTACTATATTGATACTGTACTACTATATTATTGTATTACTTCATTACGATAGCCTCCTTAGGTCCTGACAGCTCTTCCTGCAGCAAGACAACCAAAAAGAGCATGCCAAAACGTTCAGGAAGGAGAACAACTTTGCCAGGGAATTTGTAGGAAACCCTGGCACCAACCCAGCCTTTCCTTTTTATTCAAGCCTGTTTTTACCCTAGTTGGTGGACAGATTCCAAGTATCGCCCCTGACCTGCGCTGTTCTCATTGGTTGTCATTATAGGGAATGAACGGAGAAGTGGATCCGTGCAGTAGCCCATGTATAATCAAAACAACCTAGTGGCTTCCGTTTTCTTTCGCATTCTCGGAACCGTAAACCTACGCTTGAGTCTTGAGTCTTTAGTTTCATTCTATACAACTCCCTCATTCCTACCCACAACCAGCAACCTGGATCCTGTCTTCATCTGAGGCATTTTCGCCCGGCTCCTTCGTTCTGCTCAGATGGCTTCACAGCTGCCGCTAGCAGAAGAGGCTTCAAGGGTAAGAGACTTCAAGACAGGGGCTGCAACATTGCCCGGCGCAGCAAAGTGCCTCGAAAATGGATCACCAGATAAAGCGCTCAAGGCTTTCGGGATTGGACTATTGCGGGGAACTAGCCACTTAGTCCTCAGTTAGGGGGTGGACAGTGTGCACGGGGATCGCATGGCCTGTTCATGCGGATTTGTAGAGAGTTGTTTAGCATGTGCCTATGATCAAGAGGATTCCTTCAAGCCCTTGGCACGCTTTCAGAAGTGGTCCCCGTCACCATCGTGGTGTTAGCGGCAAAAGTATCACGTGGAGGAGGAGAAGGAGTAGCCGCATTGGCAAAGAGCGTGAAAGCAAGTATCAGCTACACAGAAAATGTTGCTTGATGGTGGACCTGGCAGGTTACAGAGAAGCCACGGCCAGAAGAGAATTGGCCACGGCTGGACATTCAAAGGGAGCCTTTTGTGGGAAGCGATGGGTACAGGTGGGTGCGCATCCTGTCCTCATTGATTCTGTTTTGGCTGTGGTTGGAGTTGCTTTGTGGCCAACAGTGTGCATTTTCACAAAGAGTCATCTGCCTGAGGTATCTACACCACAGCACGGTGGCCAAATGGGCGGAAGCAGGTGCTACCCAGGGACGAGCGCATACCTTTTCATAGTAACTCCTTTCACCCATTGCTGCGATCACTGCGGATAGGCTGTACCACCGCATATTGGGAGTGGGAGAGGATGCATTTGGTTTTGAATTGCGATGTGGCAGGAGCACGTCCTCGAGAAGCCGGTGTACAAAATGTGATAGGTTTGGGTGTGCAGTTGCCAAAGACGGAAGGGAGTAGAGGATTTTATTGTGGTCCTTTGCTTAGGCGTGTTCGTCCTATAGCATCGAGAACTGTATCATGGAAATGTGACAACTGCGCAGAACTTTTAAGCGGCTTTTGATGTCAGACGACTCTGACATCCGTGAGCATGCAAAGCAATTGCTCAGAAACCTGGTGGTTCAGCCGAGGGGCCGACGACAGGTACGAAAAAAATGCGGCCAATGATGGTAGCAATGATTCAACCAGAGTAGTCATGAAAGCGATCAACATGAGCGGCGCATAGGGACGAGGATATAGGAAGAGACCACATGCGGACCATAAATGGAAAAGCCTCATGAAAGTAAGGCTTGTAGTATAGGATGCCTAGACCAACATCTGCGCAGAAGCATCTGTCAAGACAAGCCGGGTACCATATGCCATGCAGATCCAGGAGCGTGTATATACAGATGACAAGGCAGGCGCTATACGGCATTGAGCTTGTTCAACTGACACCACGCTCCGCTGCCTTACAGATCATGTACAGACATGGGACTCGCATGGAGCAGCAGCAAACAAGCGAGAGCAGATGCATAGCCCAGAAATGTTCGCATGATATCAGGTCGTTTTCAAAATTAAGGGATCCCTGAATATGCCTCGAAAGACTGCCATACTCGCTCGGGGCGCAACAAATCAAGTGCCCATTTTTCTATCTAGGCACGTCACATCCAACATCCATTGGGGCGGAACTGCGGGCTTCAAGCTGGGATCGCAGGCACCTCCCTTTTGGGATGAAAGGACACAGTTGACTCAAACAGAGGACGCTTAAATCTTTGTAAGGACCGCAGTAGCGGCCCAGTTCCGGGAGATCTTGGGGTGTTTGTCCGCTTTGGGGCTCAGAGCAGGTGAACGCCAGGCTTTATGACGACGACTAGGAAACGTAGCATTTGATGGACACACCTTCCTTCAAAGGAAGCTTCGTTGGCTTTGTGAACGTACCGAGACTGATTCCTTGAGTCGAGATGTTGAAGCCTCTGCGCCTGTCCAGGTCATGACTATCGCTGCGCCACCGAAAAGCGCCCCGGCGCGGCCGCACAAGCTTTCGCTGGGCCCTGGGTTCACATCGTCGGTAGTTGCTGCTGCTTCAAAACATGATGTCGAGGCATTGATTCCTGTTGCTTTCTGTGGGCATGACGGATAGCAATTTCGAAGGAGGTAGTGGATTGTACGGGAGAGAAGTGCAGTCTCAGCACGGCCGTTACATAGCATAAGCAGATGAATCCTAATGCCACCATTTCAAACTCCAACCCCCATGAGGATTTGCTTTCTCACGAATTGACATGGCCGGTTGTGAAGCAAGAGCTTTCTCGATCTTGATAGGCACCTACATGATTGTAGACAGTTCGTCGCTTGAATTATTTGGATGTCGAGCTTTGTGCCTTCGAGCCGGAAACGCCGCTCCAATGTTGACACATTTGACACTTAGCCACGTCCCAAGCGCACCTACAAGGCCTGCTGAGTGCAAAGCCTGGATTCAGGCAAGGAGGTCTTTGCCTAGAAAGCTGCTGATTCTGAATTGTTATCTGATTTCCAGACACGGCGTTGCAGCCTTGGAGGTGATAATTTGAACAGCCTTTGTTTCTTGCATTTCTTGAAGAGGCAGTTGCTCGAGATTGGCAGGCGCTTGGAAAGGCGCAGGGAGCTCAGGCAGCAGAGGTGACAACGTGGTACCGCAAGTATTGCCTTAGTTCCACGTCTGAGGCGATGCGAGTACAAATGAAGCCTGTTGGGTGCTGGAGGCTTTCCACCACGTTTCATGCAACCGCGAGGCCCCTCGCGGTTCGCATGGACCAGAGACTTGGGGTGGCAGCCTGCTTCTGAGTTTGTGCTAAGACGTCCAAGATGTTGGATCCTGACCTATGAGCAACCCTGCCCTTGTAACACAGCACAAGGGCCCATGCACGAAGACATGTATCATGCACACGGGCTGAAGGCTCCCCCGCTGCAAGACTTGATTGGTGAAAAACCATGGCTGTGATTCCCTTCCCCTCCCATGCAAACACCATCGCATGCATTTGAACGGTGGCCTTGAGTACCCAAGGCTGTGAAGCAGGACTGGAGGGCCTGGAGCCCAGCTTGGAGTCAATTGAAGCAAGCTGCTAGTCACAACTGCGGAACCAGAGGTCTTTTCCTGCCAAGGTAACTACGATGGCTTTTTCTGCATCCCTTTACGAAGTTGCTTGCAACTATAGTTACTATAGTTCAAAATTACGCATGCGCATGGGACATGTAATTGTCATGTGGCGGCAGAGGGACCTTTGGAGGGAATTCACTGATCCGGCTGAAATACATATAATGCCAGCTTCCATGTGATTTTCCATGTTACTGTGAATTTGAAATTTGATTTCCACTATTGGGTAATGATATCCTCCGTTTCAGGGAATACCCATATGGCTTACCCAGTCCGCTCCAGGAGAAAATGATACGCTGCCTTAAGGTGCCCTCTATGCCTGCGTGAAGCGCCACAGTCCTTAAATGGAGACGGTGAAATAAAGCGCAAACGTTTGGGGCATGAACCAAATTCTCGTAGAGCACTGTCACAGGCTTCCTGCGCCTCCTCATAAATGGCAGATTCCCCAAACAAGGGGACCCAATATAGACTCCCAATATATTATAATCATCTATAATCCTTATTATAAGGACCCCCAATAAGGTACCCCTAATTTTGGGAAACGCCCAAATCATGCGCTGTGTGCCAGGCCATCCAATTTGCCGGCGACAACTTGCGGGCTGACAAAGCTTTCGTCTTGCAGGTCTGGCAGCTGCGCTTCAGGAACTGAGCATGCCTCTATGTGGTAGTTTCCCAAGATTAGGGGTACCGTTTTTGGGAGTCCCTATAATAAGGACTATAGTATATTGGGGTGTATATTGGGGTCCCCTCATTTAGGGAAACTACTATGTTGCCAACATCCCTTCTGGATGGGCGCTAATGGTATGTCCTCGTGTAAGTCCAGGATCCACTTCCGCGAATTTGTTCTACTTGGGAATGATTATTTTCTGATGCGCAATGACAACGATAGTCTTAGCTTCCAGAGCGGTCACCTACATCTTAGGAGATGGCATATGCACTGCGTATCATCTTGGCAACCCTCGCATCGGGAAAGCATGAAAGATCACGAAAGCGCATCAGGCTGCTACCGACACCTGTGGATCCCTCTTTAGATAAGGATGGGGCAGGGAGGCTGCCTTTCTTGTATAAAGGTAGACACCATCCACCACCCGCAACCCCGTGGCCAGTCGTGCCCCCACCGCCGCCGCAGCCCTGATACTTCTGCTTGTGATACCACGGCTGCCAGTTCATCTTCCTGTCTTACTGTTGCTTCCCAAAATTAGGGGTACCTTTTGGGAGTCCCTATAATATGGACTATAGTATATTGGGGTCTATATTGGGGTACCCTACCTCCACCTACATGCGGAGGCATTGCAGAGTTCTGGCTTTGCTTTGCAATTCGCGTCCCAGCCATTGCGTTGCGATCGCGAGGCCGGAGCCCATGCTGGGAGTTGCGGATATTTAAGGGCCATTGCTAAGCGCACAAGAGCATACTTGGATTCTATAGTGTCTCAGAGGAGGGTTGAGCCTCAAGTCGTCATGTCTGGTGTGATGGTTTGGGGGCCAGCAACCCGTTGATAAGTGACCAACTCATGCTGTTGCAGATCTGGTCCATAGACGGTATACGACGTTTGGGTTTCTCAGTTTATACAGCAAATCCGCCACATGATTGAACTCAAGAACATAAAAGAAGCAAGAAGCATAAATGGCTTGGCTAGGCAAAACACGTTGCTCGCCTAGTCCCGCTGCCGACCACTTGAAAATCCAACTAGTTGCAATAGTCCCTACCGCTCTTGGGCATGTCGCAATCACGACCCATGACGCATCAGCAACATAACAACTACTACTACTATGACTATGACTATTACTATTACTATTAGGCTCCAAGGGGTTGCGTATTGTGCCCCCTTGTTCTCACAAGAGGTGGTCCTCGAGGCAGTTCGCCAGGACTGGGATGCAGCTGATAAGCGGGCTTTGAGCAGTTGCCTCTGGATTTGACATCGCATTATCATCATACTCCCCCTTTCTCAAAACCAGCAGCTAATCATTTTCGGGAGCAAGTGGGTACATGTCTGAGAATGGTCACTAATACCCAGCTGCCTCAAAAGGGAATCAACTCGCCCTCCTCAGGTATTCTTTGGATACCTTCAGAAAGCCCCGTGTGATTGCAAAGGCAATCCACACAGTCACCATGCCCAGCTGGTTGCAATCTGTTTTTGATTCTCTTATGTCTCTCGGTGTTTCTACATGTTTGGCCACTCTATCAAACATTCCTACTTGTTCTATTACTGTTCATAAAACAACTTCTGTTGAAAAAAGGAGCTACTGTGGCTAATCTTCTGTGTAGGTTGTTCTTACTGTTCTCCAGGACGGCTGTGCCATCCGCTATGCCTTCTACCAAGCCTTCCGAGAAGATTTCGAGATAATGAAAGAGGCTCAGGGGTTAGCAGTAAACCCCTCCTCCTGATAATGAACAAGCCCACCCCCTTTCAATGAACATTCCGCCTAATTTTGGGGTATTGTAAATGGCGGGAGGGTTTTTAAAAGGGGGGGTGCGATTTCCAGCCATCATACATGTAGCGCCCCTCATCATGACCCTGAAACCTGGTCCGGAGATCAGTATGCGTACATGTGTCAGCCAGATGCTTCTACACCATTGATCCCATTTCAGGGTCGAGAGGTCTGCTTGCGTTGTCGCCAGGAAGTGTTAAGCGAGGCTTCCTATTTGGCTGCATGAGGGCTGCAAGCATATACTTGCACTGGCATGAGCGGATTAGTATGCACTGCGACAGATTGCTCTGGGCCATGTATTCCTGCAACGTAAGCTTGCGAGGCGGTCGCCAACGACTGGCATGCGTTGCAGTACGCATCGAATGAGCTCACAAAGAGCAA